TGTCTTGTTTTGAAGACTTGAAACCTCCTTCCAGAGATGACACCTGGCTAATTAGGTAGCCAGACTGCACTGGTACATTGATGGGTCCACTGGATGGTCTCTCTCCTTTTCCCATCTCTCATAGGATTCTAGCTATATATTTTAATGCAAAATTCTGGAGAGGCAGTGCTTTTACCTTACTGGTGAGAATTTTAGATTCTGAGTTAATAAAATAATTCTATTTGCTTAGGTATGGTCTCATTGCAGCCCTTAAGTCATAGCATCTTGAAAGTTGCCCTAGGTTCAGATTTAACCTGTTCCTCCCTGCTACGTTAGAGTGATGAAAGGTCTTTTGACAGTAAGCTATGTACTTGTTGTATAATTAACAACATTTTCTTATTCCTCAACACAACCAGGCTTGAAAAATACAAGTGAAGCAGACAGATACCAACCTTCAACCCCACTTATGCACTTGACTCTGTCTCGGACTTCCACATTGTAGCCTTCAAAAGACATAAACACACCATCGGGATGATAGGGGGCTCTCTGTGCATAGACTTTGGAATAGCTATGAGAGAATTCAAACCGATCATAGCCGTCATACTGAACCACCTTTCCATAAACATCAAAATATTTCTCAACCCAAGTGAAAGGAAGAAAGACTTCAGTCCCCTCTCGTCTCCCTTTAATTGTGTGTTCATCATTTATGAGACAGTCAATTTCTTCATATTTGAGCCCTAACACCTTACTTCCCACATTGCTATTGAAGCCGCCAACAACGGGGGGTGCTTTCTGCTGTTCCTGAGGGAATGCTTCCTCAGACTGTTGTCTGGCCACGTGGTTCCCATAGTTGTTACTCTCAGATGCTGCCGCCCTTTTTTCTAATCCATCCACTCTGAAGCCACTACCCAAATGCCGTGGAAACTGGATCGCTTTGTCGCTGGAACACTTATTCCACAGAAGTACTGTGACCAGGGTGAAGAGTGCACAGATAATAATCAAAGTCTTATAGTTGACCCGAGCTGCCAAGCAACGCATATTCAGAGCATACCTACGGAGGCAAGAAGATAAAAAGTCATGTAAAGATGTACTATTGACATTTCATAGGATAAAGTTTTTTTTTTTTTTTGCTTTTTTTAATGTTGAGCAACTGTATTAGGACAGTTTTGTATCGAATTTAAAATTTCTAACTCAAACTTTTCAACACAAAGAAAAGGTAAGAGGTGCTTCCTCCTTTTGGTGAAATCCTTAGAATAAGCTTCTAAAGCAGAGATGTTCAAACTTTCTTAGTTTGTGGCTCCCTTGGTATCTCAGTAATTTTTCACAATGCCCCCTAAACCAAAAGAAATAGTTAACACAGTTTGAGTATGCTGTACCCAAAGTGCTTAGGACCAGAAGGGTTTTGAATTCTGGATTTTTTTAAGATTTGGGAATATCTGTATTACACTTAACAGTTCAGCATCCCAAATCTAACTCTGAAATGCTTCTCTGAGTATTTCCTTAGAACATCATGTTGATGCTCAAAAAGTTTTTGATTTTGAAGCATTTTTTATTTTGGATTTCTGAACTTGGGATGCTCAACATGTAGTTTCATTTATTAAATAGTCAGGGCCAAATAACTACTTATGTACAAGCATTTATGTCCTAACATCTTAGTAGCTATCTGAAAAAACACAGTAGACCTTTTCAAGGAAAACACCAACATCCATGTTGCTAAATCCAACAGTGAATTTTTAGTGCTCATCCTACTTGACCTCTTAACGGCATAAAATAGTCAATGATTCTTTCCTTCCTGAAACATTTTCTTCCCATGGTTTCTAGGGCACCATTCTCTCTTGGTTCTCCTATTATCTCATTAGCTGTTCTTCCTCAGTCGTCTTTGAGTCTTCCTTTTCATCTCCCTAATTCTTAAATGTACGAGTACCTTAGGGTCTCAGTCTTTTGACTTCTTTATCCCTGTTCACTTTGATCTCACCCAATCTCATGCCTTTAAATACCAGGCTGACTATCCCCAAATTTTCTCACCAGGCCAGACCTTTCTTCAGAGCTGGATACATATATTCAGATACATATATCTTTGGATATATATACATATACATATATATATATATATATATATATATATATATATATATATATATATATATATATATATTTAGAGGTCAAATAAATTTCTGAAATAACACATGAAACTTAACTCCCAATGTCTTCCTCAATCTGTTCCTCCCTTCCTACTGCTCAGGCTAAAAATCTCAATCCTTTCTTATTCACTCAATATCTAATACATCAGGAAATTCTCTTGGCTCTGCCTTCAAACTATACCCAGAATCTGACCTCTTTTAACCAACTACATTGTTACTACCATGTCAGAAACCACTGTTGTTTCTTACCTGGAACACAGCAGGGCTATTCAAATTGTTCTCTCTCCTTCTACCCTTACCCTACTACTCCACCCTCAAGTCTATTCTCAACACAGCAGTCAGAATGATGCTCTTAAATTTAAGTCAGATCATGTCATTCCAGTCCTGATGGGAGGAAAATCTGATGCTGTCACTCCTTCTGGCCATATGGTCTATCAGCTTGTTGTGATCACAATGCAAGTAGTCCTGGGTCACCTATTGCTGGGATGATTGGGAAACATGGGAAATTATGAATAGTTCTATGTATAATACAGGATATGTTTCAGCCTGCTGAGAGTAAAGGGAGTCGTTTCATTGCCGTTTGCTACAGTAGCTCTGTAATTGATTGTATGGTGTGAATCAACTACTAATTTTATTGTTGTTAATCCCCCCCTTCTCGTTTTCTCCTCAATCCTTTTGGCATCAATGAGATATTTTTAAAAATCAAGTGCTAAATTTCTGTTTCTCAAGAAGCTGGTGGTGAATGTGTAATTCATTCATTTCTTTTACTTCCAAAGGAAGCAAACTTTGCACCCTTCTGTGTCTGAAAACAATTGTATTCTGTTCTTACCCTTGATTAATAGTTTGGCAGGATATTGAATCCATGGTTGCATACTATTTTCTTTCTAAATGTTGTAGGCAATATTTGCTCTTAAATCATTAAGAGTTATTAATAAGGGTTTTGACTTCAGTCTCTTGTTACTACGTGTGTGATTTCTTTCTGGGTCTTTGTTTATCCCAGGAATTCCGCAGTTTTGAGATATGTCACAGTGTCATGTTTGATTCTCTATTTCAGCGCTTCGTGTGTCCATGCAACCGAAAAACTTGTGTCCTCCTGTTCTTGTTTAATGGATATAGTAGCTTCTTGAATCTCTGAATATATTACATGACTTCTTTTTTAAAAAAATAAAGTTCTTTCTGATTAGTTTTACTTTTTACACTGGCAATTTTCCTGGTTATTTAGTCTTTCATGCCATTAGTTTTTTCCACCATGCCTGATGATCTTTGGTTACTCATTCACATTTAGGAGAGAATGACTCATTAAGCCAACATAGATTTCCTGTGTTATTTTGAAGATAGTCTGATTTTGGCTATATTATTCCCCTGGAGGGGATAAAAAGAGGGAGCTCTGTGTGGGCTGGACATAAGCTGACTGGCAGTGTTCCTACAGGGTGAGTGGGTGGGTAGCCAGCAGACCTTTCAAATGCCAGAAAAAGGACGGTGTTTTCTCTTTTGTTACATGAACACAGCACTCACTTTAGAAGCCTTCGTCTTTCTCATGCTCTCTAAAGAAAATCTGCCTAGTGTTTGCCTGGGATTCTTGCCAGCTATCTGTATCCATGCGCAGGGGTGAGAGAGGTATGAGGAGGTAAGGAAAGGGTATAGTTGGGCCTACTGGTACTCAAATAGAGATCCTGAAATCAGTTCAACGATCATCTTTGGGTAGTCCCTCTATTTATTGTTACTGGTTTCTTCATTTCTCGTTTTTAGACATTTTATTTTGATGGGGCATCAGAAGGGAAAGGAGGTGAATACAAATTTTAAGAGCTGGAAACCCAGTAATACATTTTTAACCCTATTAACTGAGAATAATTCATTTCATCATCTGCATTATTACTATGAAAAAATGTGTTGAATGCTAAAAAAAAATCAAAGCGTGTAACAAGCAAAACTTTAGAAGTCATATAAATTAAGGATTTTCTTATATTGTAGTGGGGGCAAACTGATAACACTAAATGGTGCTTATTTTTTTTTTTAATCCTTCATTAAAAACATTTATATGTCAACAGCTAAGTAATCTGTCAGCTATGCCTAACATTTTAACCAATTAAAATAGAAACAGAAAGTTTTTATCCTATCTTTGAGATGCACCCTTCCTCCACTACTCGAATGACAGTAACCTTGCTTATGGAGCAAGGCTGCTGATATAGTCTGGATATTTGTCCCCACCCAAATCTCATGTTGAAATGTAATCCCCAGTGTTGGAAGTGAGATCTGGTGGGAGGTGTTTGGATCATCCGGAGTGCATTCTTCTTGACTGCCTTAGTGCCATCCCTTTGGTGATGAATGAGTTCATATGAGATCTGGTTGTTTAAAAGCATGTGGTACCTTGCTTACACTTCCTTGGCTCCTGCCCTAGCCATGTGACCTGTCTGCTCTTGGTTTGCCTTTTGTCATGAGTAAAAGTTCTGTGAGGCCTCCCCAGAAGCTGAGCAGATGCTGGCACCATGCTTGTATAGCCTGCAGAACCGTGAGCCAATTAAACCTTTTTTAAAAAAAATAAATTACCCAGTCTCAGGCATTCCTGTATAACAATGCAAGAACAGACTAACACAGCTACCAATATGACAAACCACATGATGGGAAAGTAAAGAAAAATAAAATTAAAAAACTTTCAATAATCCTTATGTCCAGGTTTTACTGTCTGATGCCATTCATTACTAAAGACACTCAGGGCTTCTTAAAGAAATGAGTAAGCCCAGGACTAGGGATGGGACACCTTGCCACACCAGAAAACAAATTTTCAACTACCAATGAGATCAAAATCTAGGGTGTCAAAAAGCAGACTGAAACACACTGAAGCAATACAAATCCATGTATCTACAATAATATTTAAAAAGGAGAAATACAACAAAAAATTTACATAATCTTCTGAGCTGATGAAAATTGGCAACTGAGTAAAAAAAATTATTTACTTATCTTGTCTTTGCAGGAGCAACTACATTTCAGAACAAATCAATAACCCTAGTCAATAAAGTACTCTATTTGACAAAAGGCTATCTAATAATAAGAAGTAAAATTAAAAAAAAAATAGAAAATTAGCATTATGTAATTCCTCATGAAATTACAGATCCAGGCAAGTGCTAAATGCAGGTATGTGTTTGCCATGACCTAGAGATTCATACTGTGCAAAGTAACACCAAATACATTATTTTCTAGTTGAAAGAAGAAAAAGATTAAACTTGCCAGGGAAAGGATCAGATAGTCATATCCTAATTCGGTGGTCAACTTCAGTCTCCTTAACTGTGACCCATCCAGATGCTGTCTCCTGATAAGTCATAATAAGAAATACACCATTTATCATATATTCCAGCCCAAAGTGTTTCACTTGGATCTCTCAGGACTTAAAATTTAATCTCTGGCTAACAGGAAATACAAAGGATAGAAGAACAAGTTAAAGGAGGAAGCAATTAGACACATCTGGAAGGTAAGACATTCTGTAGAACAGCTGGTCCTGTCTTCTCAATTCAATTAGTGATATCAAAAGAAAAAAGAAAGGGCTGGTGTTTTTTTTTTGTTTTTTTTTGTTTTTTTTTAAAGAGACTTAGGTACATAATAACCAGATGTGAAACTTGGTCCTAGGCTGAGAAATTCAACAATGGACTTGATAAAATGGAAGGATATTGAAATGAAGATTGTTAACTGAAAAAAATAGATTATAAATAGCACATTTAGTATAATCTTGTTTTAAACAATGTATATGTACATCTTTATTTTTCTAATTTTCCATGATTGTGCTTACTTTTTTTTTTTAAACTATAAAAAATGGCATGTGCCTGCAGTCCCAGTTACTTGGGACTGGGGTAGGAGGATCACTCGTGCCTAGGAGTTCTGGGCTACCGGGTGCTATGCCGCTCAGGTGTCCACATTA